CGGAGTGCTGCTGGTGTTCGTGCTGTTAGACACAGCACAACAAGGGCAGTGAGGCCTGGGACACAGGAAGCAAATATAGGATACAAGTGGCCTCGTTTGCAGAAGGGAGGGCCTCAGAAAGAACTGGGTGTCTGATGAGATGAAAAGCACCCAGGAAGGCCAGCGTGGTTAGAGATGGCTGGGCGGAGGGGAGACCAGCATGGTTAGTTTGCTGGGTGGAGGGGAAAGAATACTGAACAAACAGTACATGCATATAAAGAACCTACCTGAGGCCAGACAACGAAGCATCTGAAAAGACTGGCAGATATAACTCTTAGATCCCAAATCAGGCTGGTGATAGTTTCTATACTATTCAGGCTGAGAAGCTCTGGGATTTCAAAGACATGGTTCAAGCCCCCGGGACCTCTGCCCAATAGTGGGAAATACTAGCAACAGGCCGGACAGTATCCCAGTGTTTCCCAATAAACCTTACTCACAAGACCAAAGAATTTCTGAATTTGTTTCAGAACAATTTGGAAACATAATGATGGGGATACAGAATTACCCATCCTGCAAAAATATCCTTCAGAAATGAAGGCAAAATAAAATTTCTTCCAGAGGCACATGAACTGGCAGAGTTCACCACTGGCAGCCTCACGTTGTTTAAAATGTTACAAAAAGTCCTTTAGATAGAAGGCAGTTGATGCCAGAGAGAGACAAGGGGCCACACAACGGAATGGAGAACAGGGCTGGCTTCCCGCGTATGGGACCAACATTGTTTCATCACACACGCGGCAGCCCTCTGAAACATCCTGTGCTTGGTTTCACCTTCAGCGCTCGCTATCTTTATATTTTTAACAATTGCAAACAAGGGGCCTTACAGCTACAACATGCAAAGCGATCAAGCCATGTGACCAAAGAATGGGCGCAGAATTAGCAAGTTTCCTTGGAAAACCTTCTGACCGCTGGGTTAGATTATCGCAGAACTTCCCCAGAAAGGTAGAAATTCAATCACTAACATCGAGGAAACCTGGCAAAGCAACCTGACCGCCCTCCACAAGTGCAAGCACAGTTTCAGAAGTAGTCAGGCAAGAAGCAAATGACAAACGAATCCATTCACTGCTGCTAAAGTAATTCCAGATGCTATCCACTGGAGAAGAGAAAGGGCTTTCACAAGATGCATATGGGTACTGTTGCCTTAGCTACTTTATTAACTTTTACCCAGAGGTATTAAAACCAAATACTGTATTACGTTTTAAGAAACAATTCTGTATTATGAGCGGAGATTTAAGAATGCACTAAATTCTATATATTTTTTTTCAGTACGAACCTTTGCCATTATTAGTATTGCAGGGTACACTAAGCCTGGGCTAGAATGATTCCCTTGGTAAATGATGGTAAGGTCAATGGGAAGATATTAATTGCAGTTCTACAATAAGATTCACGAGTTAATGAATTGAACGAACAGTGTTTAGAGTTATTTGGATGTACCCAAGTCCCTTTAGTAGACACACAGAGATAAAAAAATTAACGTTCTTTTTTATAATTTTGTATATTTTTATTGTCCAGAAAGTGAATATCGAGTTATTCACATGGGCCTTAGCTTATTATTTTTAATTTCATAAGTCATCTATACACACTTTATAGAGAACATATAATCCTTTCTGTCTAAAATTTGCCCCATGCAGAGCTGTGGAGGTTGGTGGTAGTAGTTAGAAATATTAGTCAGACTGGCTAGGACCATATGTCGAGACTGAGAAACCTCTGAGAGGGGAAAAAAAAATTAATGGACCTTTGAACTACTAACTAGTCATTAATTCCCTTAACAAGCCCTTGGAGGGACAGTAACTCTAGCGGTGGTTCATGCAGCTAGCATTTGCAGAGGAAACAATTCGCCCGCCATCTCTCTGGACACATCCACATTTTCATACTGAAATGTCACTAGAAAGGTAGGAATGTGATGTTACTACCTATGGTGGCCAGGACTTGAGCCAATCAGTCAACACTGGTGTCTGAATGCGAAGTCTCTGAGCTCAAAGGGTCAACTGTTGGCCAATATTTCATGCTCTCATCCAAGACAGCACTGGGCCTCCAGAACCGGCACCGCTTCCTGCCTTAGATGCTTCTCTGTGTTAACAATGGTGAGATCTCTATCCTTTCGTTTCCTCCTAACCCTTGGGTAGCTTTGTGTCCAAACCTCTTATTTGTTTATTCAAATAACCTTGATTTTCAAAAAACATTAATATACACCACAAAGAAAAGGTCTTCAGGAGCTTTACAAAGGCAAGAGTTTCAAATACACATTTGTATGATTCAAGTCCAGAAATCTGGCCAGTTTCATATCCTGATAGAAATAGGTTACACAAGCTTATTATACTCCTGAGAATAACAACAAGTGCATTACCATCCACACTGAGTGTCTCATCAATGATGCTGCTGCTATCGCCATGCCAACAAGTCTACTTGTCCTCTATTCTCCTCCCTCCACCTGTTGACCTCTGCACCTCTCCCAGCTGGAGTTTCTCTGTCTTCCCTTCAGGAGGAGAAAGAGCCACCAGAGCAGTCTGGCTCCCTTTAAATCAGCTCCTCACATCAGCCATCAATGGTCCACTCTACAAAGATCCAGGAGGGAAACCATCAACTAGCAAGTGACCTATGAGGGGACCTAGTCTCTGTAGTGGTCAAGGATGGGACTCAGCCACTCTACCTTGACCCATGATAGGACTTCCCTAGAGGCCTTCACTTTAGATCAGGATTATGGTAGTACCCTGTATCAGTCAGGGAACAACTTATTGGTACTCGATACTGTATTAGTTGAGCCATCTGCTACACAAGGGACCACCCCATACTTCTCTTCATTAGTCCAGATAAACAAAGGTCTTAACGTTGTCTTCTCTTTTTTGATGAAAGGGTTTTGAATTTGAGATTACTCAAAAGCTTTGCAAGCTCAAAGGCACACATAGCCCTTCTCACACTAAAAAAAACCCCCAACAACCTCAACTCCTTAAATGAAACGCCCCCCTCAAGGAGCGATGAAGTTTCGCTTTCTAATTCTGTGTCTAAAGGTTCATTTGGCTTTTTTGTTTGCCCACAAAGAGCATGTCTAGTGAGTTAAATGACTTGCATTCCCTCCTTGTAGAGTGGTAACTTCCCATATATAAAATGCCACAGAAATTTAAACCCAATGAGTTTACTTAAGAAAGATACGCTGTGTTCATGGCAGGCACACAGGTCAGAGGACTTTGAGCACACTGACTATGCCTTCAGACTTTGAAGCAATATTTCAAACTTGAACCCCTCTAAATCAGACCATAATTTAGTCAGTGCAGCTAAAAGGGAAACCAAAGAGGCCGCATAGGCACGAAGGCATATTTTTGTTTTCTTGTCGGAATTCAAAGGTGGTTGTGATTAGTCTCTAGGCCCAGGCAGCAAACCTATGGGCTTTCCAGCATCAGGACCTCCCTGTCACCCAACACGAGGGATACTGTAGAGCCTTCCCAGTACCGCTGCCACCAGTCAGGTGAATGGCCCACACGCCACTTCCTAATCAGCTCTTCAGTAGGGAACAGGTGTATTCTGAGGGTCTGGCATAGCGTTAGTTTTCAGATTCTACCGTTAAGCAGGACACATTTCAATGTAGAAATTGATGCGGCTGACGTATGGAAAAAGGCCTTGTTCACAAGCGAGTGCCTCAGAGGAACCGTGAGGCGAACGTCACGTCTCACAGAGGACGGAAGTCTTTACCTATCACAACCAAAACCTGAGGCGGCTTCAACTTGTTCCTTTGCTACAATGACTAAGAACAATGCTAACCAGAGCTTCAGGCACTGGCCTTCTTTTGGTAAGGATGGTTTTTGGTGAGGGAGCAACAAGTTAAGAATTACTAACGGCAAGCGAGAAGCCAAGATTCTATTAACTTCATGTGCTTTTTTGACTCAAGAACAATTTTGTAAAATGTCCCAGCAAAGATGTATTTTGAAAGATACATTTTCAAAAGCAAAACATATTGGCTAACGGTCATAATGCTCATTAAAATAATTAATGGCAGGCAACATGTAGAACCTAGACTCCAGGATGGAGAGCAACAGAACAAGCAGAAGAGAGCTAAGAAGAAGTAGTAAAAATTGTCGACTTTATTTCACTTTGCAAATGCCCTCCCAATCATCAGGCTGTGAAGATAAACAACCCTCTAAAAGAGTGATTTATCACTGTATTATCTTAAAAAGGAACATTCCCAACACGCGAGCACAGCACAAATGCACACCATCATTTCCCGCTACCTTTTTACTTCATTCCTTCACCTGTTTGTATTTAGAAAAAAAAATGAGAGTAAAAAGGAAGTGAGGAAGAATCGGAATCGCTTATGAGGACTGAGTTGATCTCTCTGGGCTTGAATACATGGCAACATATGCTGGCCAGCGTTGACGGAAAATTTATGCCAAGCGTATGTATGCATGAAGCAGAGACAACATACGATTGGACGCCAACTCCGGGAGATAACGCTTTAATGACTACAGCAGCCTGTTTAGCAAGAGCAGAAGCAGTCTCTCCGAGCACGGGGTTTGAATCCTAATTAAGGAACGAAGATAAAGAAACACGACAGAGTGCTAAAAGAATGTGATTAAGGGATGGAAACGCGACAATTCTGGCTTTTAATAGTGAACAGGGGCAGAGATCAGGCTGGAAGCTTATTTTGCCACCACATCCCTATGCTAAACCGACAAGGGTTTCCTAAAATGGAAACCCCAGAACTTCTTGGAAGGTTTCGTTAGATAATGCAGAAAGCCCCGAGGCTCTTCTTCTTATGTCTCAGTTCACCATCTCAAAACATCAAAAGACAATGACCTCAGAATAACACACACACACACACACACACACACACACACACACACACACACCTGTAAATCTTTACTAGATGTCCAAACAGTCACAGAGAAAGATGAAGAATTCTCCACCTGCAATAAAATTCACGTCACATCGAAAGCAGAACAGTTAAGGTGTCGAGAGAGAGAGCAACTTACATTGATGAGTTCAACCTCCCAGATTTTTTTCAACAGGTCCATCGACGTGTATCCATTGATGAGAAAGGCTTTGGTGTAGTCCCCCAGCTCAATGGAATCCAGCCACTCAGCGACAGAGGTGGGATGGTAGCCATCATGACCAATGGGTCTCATCTGCAACGAAGAACGATACATTAGCCATTACTTAAACCAGCTCCCTTCGGTCCCAACAACAGGAAACATCTGGTCACTTGCAAATTAATCTGATATAAAGCATCAGATATTTCTGGATAAAAAAGTAAGGAGAAGGAAAAGGCTCTATGAACAATTCTAAATCATTAGTAATTTTCACGCTGAATTAGTTTTCAAAAATACACCCAGAAATTTCCAATTTAGCTGCTAAATGAACTCTGGGTTTGAGATGATGAAATATGCCAAACTTCTGTTCAGGACTTTGTTGGTGTTCTGCTGGGAGGGAATTGTGAGGGATGTCAGTTGAGTTACCAGTGTTGGACGGGAGGAAGGCTAAAGGCACGGCATCTTCAAAATAGAGATGGTAATTCTCATACGCGCAACGTCCGAGTGTGTGAAAATACTTTATGACTTAGACATTCCAAGGGGGTTCATGCTTATGTAAGGCACGTATTGTAGGTAGGGCACACACGCTGGAGAAACACACGGCTGTGGCAAGCCAATTCAAAAGAGGCCCTGGGTGCTTCAAGACCATGTGTTCCACCTCAGCTCTACAGTGTGTTAGACATGAATAGGGGACTTTCTGGCAGACAGGCTTCTATTTTTTGTCAGCTATATACAGATTTTTTTTTTAATACTTCAGGGGAACAAAGAAGTGTGACAGCAACATAAAGTCTCTGGGTTTAAATTGGAATGGGAAAATAATTTAAGCAGGAAGAACTTCTGGGTTGAAGAATTTATATAGCTTCTTCTAAGTCCTTTATTTTTTTTTTTATTTGAAATCTAAGCTGAATTCATGGTTCTTGTGTTTGACATGACTCACTTCTGAAACTTAGGCTGCCTGCATGCCAGGACAGGGTTTGGTACTGGAGTTCCTCGGGAGAGCGGCCCCCTCATCAGCCTTCAGTAAGGCGCCTGCTGGGAGCAGCTAAGTGGGCATGGTGCAGACGGGGCTTTCCTCTTCCATCAGATTGAAGGAGATTATGAACAGAAATCTATAGGATCCTGGTTTGTGCCCAGAGGAAAAGATTAGTGTTGGCACCCAGGATTCAGATTTTCATCTCAGCATCGTGAGCTTTCTGTCACTGTGCAGGGTCCTCGGTTCAGAGTATCCTTACCTTTCCATTTTAAGTTGCCCTTCCCCCTACCCTCCTTCCAGCTAGTCCACTCCTCAATCTAACCTACAGCTCTAGGCTTCAGTACCCACCGTTTCAAAGCTACAGTGCAGTTCATTGTTGGTGCCAGCACCTCGGGTGTGTGGGATGCTCGTATTTTGCTTTTTTATTGCCTGACCCCCTTTGGGCAACTCACCAAATGCCTGTCCATGTGGCTCTGACTCAGTATTCATTGTATGGTGACAAGGAATGGTGAGTCAGAGTTTGCCAAACGCAGTCTAGTGGCAGACACAGATAACTGAGTGCTGCATATATATAAACCTGGTGACCAGGACCCGAAGTGGAGGCTCGGATGTACTGAGCACTTTCCTCTTTGGTAGATTACAGACTACAGGTATGCGGTGCATTCTCCCTGGTTGGTTAACAAGTGGGTGAACCAACCTGAACACTGACCCAAGACATAGGGTACTCATCTGATGGAATAAATGGAGAAAGAGCAAAAGGGAAGAAGGGAACATGGGGGTTGACACAACCTAACAGTAAGGTTACTGGTAGTCTCCCCAAGAAGCTGACCAAGCCAGCAGTGGCTACTTTGGACAGGCTTAAGGATCCTTGATTTTTTTTTTTAAAGAAGAAAAGAGTCAGTTCTTCTTTCCCAGAGAACTGTGTAATAGGTTTCCCACAGGTCACCTCGGACACTCATACACAATTCCTGGCAAAGGGCAGTCATTGACCACCTGTCACACTTTGGTTTCTCAATGGTCACTGGAGGAATCTGGGGTGCACCCCCCACCGACAACAGCAAAATGAACCCAATGGACCAAGACACTCACTGCTTCTTCTAATACCTTCCATTTTGTCCCAAGACCAAGCAATTGAGTATCAGAAATGGGGGTGGGGTGTTAGTGTCTTGGAAGAAAACTGAACTTAGGGTGTGTGTGTGTGTGTGTGTGTGTGTGTGTGTGAGAGAGAGAGAGAGAGAGAGAGAGAGAGGAATAAAACTGGAGGTTTGAAATGGGCTAGAACTGAATTTCTACTGTTTTACACAATGAGAACATTACTGGACGGATCTGAAATCACACTAAGAAGTAGCAAAGGGAGTCAACGGAACTTGATTGAAGGCAGCAGCTGGGAAACACATTACACTAAAATCTCAGTGCGTGTAGACTGCTCAGTAATCTGGATCCTCCTATAAAGTATGATCCACCCTGGAGAGGCAAGGGTGACAGGGATTTTGATGGGGTGACAGATGGGTGGCCAGAACGCCAAGGTGCAGATACTCTGGAAATGGGTGTGTGCATATGTGTAGGGCAGCATCCGTGCGTTTGCTTATTCAATAAATACTCAGCGCTCTTTCTGGTGGATGCTGGTGGTGGACACAGCACAGAACAGATCAGTTAAAATGCCTCCTGCACAGTAATTGTAGTCATAAATCAAAATGTTTGTGAACAGATGACCACCAAATGATGAAGGTTCTGCGTCCCTGACTGGAGGAGACACCGAGAGCCAAATAAAGTTGCAAAATGAACTTGAGACGTGTTTAACGATATGTAGGGTGACCACTGCACCATGCAGTAACTTCTTCCAAAGAAGCTGTCCCATTGTTCCCTTAATTTTGCTTCTACCGCCACTCCCCAGCTCAGGTTCTCATTACCACTTGTTCAAATGAGTGCAAAATCCTTCTGCTTGGCCTCCCACCTCTCGTTCAGCTTATACTCAGTGTGACCTTAGCCAGGCTCATAAGTCTACCCTTGGACCAGAATCTACAGTGATTCCTTCTAGAGAAAAGTCCAGATGTCCTATCGCACCATGCAAAGTCAACTAAGATCGACCCAGCCTCTCACTGTCCTGCCACACACCATACTGATGAGACTAAACACACGCACATGTCAACAGTCACGGAGTTGCTACCAGCCGCTTCCCAACCAAGAGCTGCACAAGGCACTCTTAATACTTTGCTCATATATTTTCCATGCCTGCAATGCTCTTGTCTTATGTCTAGAGTTACTTTTCAAGAACTGAAATCTTCATGAATTATAAAACACATAACTAAAATAAATTTTAATGCCATCTAATATCTTATAGCTATCGTTGATTGGAGTAAAACAACCAATTTCTATCCTTCAGCTGAGAACAAAGTTCCCACCCACATTTCTCAGCCAGTGGGGAGGCATCAGTCCTTTGCCCAGGTAGAAGCTCAGGAAACGGTCATCATAACTCGTGAGGATGACACTCCCTACTGATTTGATTTCCAAGATGGCTTCCAACTCAGTGTCCTTCTTCCAAAGAGGGCTTTAGAATCTGGTAGTCCCAGAAGTGCTACTGATTGGTTGGGCTGTCTTTGGCAAATTAGATAGCTAGGTGAGTCTCACCTCCCTCTTTTCTAGAACACGCACCCCAAGTCTTGTGATATTTTTGGTATAGTATGCAAACTGCCTGGCATGATGATTTGGATTAATATCTACCCGATGACTCTTCGTTTTCTTTGTGCCCAATTGTTTTAAACGGCACACAGACTTGGATGGGAGCTGCACAAGCCTTTGCCCTTGGCTGGTTCAAATTCTCTTGTCCGCCTTCCACCCTTTCTCCCCTGCACTCCCCATGCCTCTCATCTTGCTGCAGATAGGGTCTACCTCTGAGAACGTCTTTTCTTCTTGACCTCTCATCTTACATGTCTGTGCTTAGACATTTCCCAAACAAGGTAACCCAAGGATACAGAATAACTGATCCAAGTTCTCGCCTCTCTTCCTGCATTAGAATTGCAGGAGAATCGCATTGCATCTCACTGTGGCTGGAGGTGCTTCCCAGCTCCAATGATGCTGGCCGATGGAATGGCTGGTTGGTAGCCTCTCTCTTTCCCCTGTTCCGCTCATTCTTTCTTGCTCTGCCTGTGCTAAACGTATGCACACTCATTCTTACACCATCCCTGTACGACCACTATCTGCTGAGTACTTGTATGATTGCTAGTACAAGGAGGTCAACGAAGACTTACGAAGTTGAATTTAACCCAAAGCTTAGGATTAAATTTGGAGCCCAGGAAAATCCAGTCCGTGTTAGGTCACTACAGCTGATGGAGGTAGAAAAGCAGACATTTTTGTGATTATCATTGCCAGCTACTGAGTTTTCAATACACAGGGGGAAAAAGCTGACTAGGGTTACAAGTTTTCTGTGTTTATGAATTTGGTGTTTATGAACTGAACCTATAGAATCTAACTCAGGCTCTTTAATTCACGAGTCCGTTGGCAATTGCTGGCATGAGACTGAGGAGGAGGAAGGAAGCTGAGCTAGCCAGCACCAACATCCTTCCTACCTCACTGAACTCCATCTTTACCCATCACGGCCAAAGTCAGTCTTTATTGCACATGCCACATGCTTACTGCATGAGTTGGAGTACTGGGACATAGTCCACCGGACAGCTCATCTACCTCCATACCTCTGCTTCTGTTTTCTTCTTTAGCAGGAACCCTTTCTCGACCTGCTCTCCCAAGATTTCTCGGAGGCCACCTGACTTTCAAGGGAGCATTAGTAGCACATTAGCTTCACTGCCCTTGGTGAAGAAACAAGGTCTTAGGAACTTCCGTGATTTCCAAGGCCTCCATCAGGACCATCTCACACACAGCAGGCATTTGCTAAGTGTTTATTGAATTATTTAAGTAGACATGGGAAAAATTCATTTCCGAGGTTTGGGACTCATTTGCAGGAGACCTACATTCTGTACTCTGTACCATAAAAATTAAGGATTTCTTTTTTTATGGCCGAACACTGGTACATTTAAAAAATTTAAAACTTACATGTATCAAGAACCAAAACCAACTTCAGATAGTTTGCTTTACTATGAAATGCAATGGATTTAATTCCATCCTCTTG